GGTCCGGTCTCTGGGCGGTGATTGGTCGACTAGCGTGTCCTGGTCCGGTCTCTGGGCGGTGATTGGTCGACTAGCGTGTCCTGGTCCGGTCTCTGGGCGGTGATTGGTCGACTAGCGTGTCCTGGTCCGGTCCTTGGGCGGTGATTGGTCGACTAGCGTGTCCTGGTCCGGTCTCTGGGCGGTGATTGGTCGACTAGCGTGTCCTGGTCCGGTCCTTGGGCGGTGATTGGTCGACTAGCGTGTCCTGGTCCGGTCTCTGGACTCTGGTCGACTAGCGTGTCCTGGTCCGGTCTCTGAACTGTGATTGGTCGACTAGCGTGTCCTGGTCCGGTCTCTGGACTGTGATTGGTCGACTAGCGTGTCCTGGTCCGGTCCTTGGACGGTGATTGGTCGACTAGCGTGTCCTGGTCCGGTCCCTGGACTGTGATTGGTCGACTATCGTGTCCTGGTCCGATCTCTGGACTGTGATTGGTCCACTAGCTACAACATTATCCTTTCAGAGTAACGACCTAAGTCTCTAAGAGTGAGGAATTAAACCCTTGCATTAGCGGTGAGAAAAAGTTTAATTAGATAAAGTTCTATTCTTTCTGTCTTTAAGAAAAGCCGAATATTCATTCTCACTTCGGGGAGAGCGAGACCCACTTCCCATCACTCAAGAAAGCCACAGACACACTTCCCATCACTCAAGAAAGCCACAGACACACTTCCCATCACTCAAGAAAGCCACCCACACACTTCCCATCACTCAAGAAAGCCACCCACACACTTCCCATCACTCAAGAAAGCCACCCACACACTTCCCATCACTCAAGAAAGTCACCCACACACTTCCCATCACTCAAGAAAGCCACCCACACACTTCCCATCACTCAAGAAAGCCACCCACACACTTCCCATCACTCAAGAAACCCACCCACACACTTCCCATCACTCAAGAAAGCCACCCACACACTTCCCATCACTCAAGAAAGCCACACACACACTTCCCATCACTCAAGAAAGCCACCCACACACTTCCCATCACTCAAGAGTCACCCACACACTTCCCATCACTCAAGAAACCCACCCACACACTTCCCATCACTCAAGAAAGCCACCCACACACTTCCCATCACTCAAGAAAGCCACCCACACACTTCCCATCACTCAAGAAAGCCACACACACACTTCCCATCACTCAAGAAAGCCACCCACACACTTCCCATCACTCAAGAGTCACCCACACACTTCCCATCACTCAAGAAACCCACCCACACACTTCCCATCACTCAAGAAAGCCACCCACACACTTCCCATCACTCAAGAAAGCCACACACACACTTCCCATCACTCAGAAAAGCCTTCCCCGGATCTGAAAGATTTTCCAGGATTTTCCTCCCAGTTCTTCAGCATATTTTTAGGTTTATTAAGTGAGAAATTTCACGCGTCTTGCCCAAGACGCGTGAAAGACGTCGGGCCGGAGGAGTCTGCCTCTTTGTCCGTCTTCGACAGCAAAATTAACCTCTGATTAGTTTACCTTGCAGCCTTCTACTGCCTATCACGCTCTCTGATTGGTCAGCGAAAGATGTGACGTTTTAAGATCGGCTGGTGATTCGCTGAAGGAGAGGCTCTTACTCTTTCGCTCTCAGCGGTGATTGGGGCTAAAGTCTTGGCTCTGGTATCACAGTATATAGTCAGCGATTGGTTAATGAGTGGCTCTTATGTCGCCAATGATATCAGCGGTGTTATAATGGACTCCTAACTATCCAAGGTCGGAATCACCACAATGGGAGCAAACCCCAACCACTGTTGAAGTTAGTTTCAGTAGTCACTACATTCTCAACAGGTTATCTTGAGGTTATCTTGAGATGATTTCGGGGCTTTAGTGTCCCCGCGGCCCGGTCCTCGACCAGGCCTCCACCCCCAGGACGCAGCCCGTGACAGCTGACTAACACCCAGGTACCTATTTACTGCTAGGTAACAGGGGCATAGGGTGAAAGAAACTCTGCCCAATGTTTCTCGCCGGCGCCTGGGATCGAACCCGGGACCCCAGGATCACAAGTCCAGCGTGCTGTCCGCTCGGCCGACCGGCTCCCGCTACAACAAGGTAACTGGTAACTAGGTAACTACAACACACACAGTACTGACTCACAACTATTGGACACAAGGTTGGAGTCAGGGGCTTGGTTGTGGTCCAGGATCCTGAGAATACACACACACACACACACACACACTGGGGGGGGGGGCCTCGTAGCCTGGTGGATAGCGCGCAGGACTCGTAATTCTGTGGCGCGGGTTCGATTCCCGCACGAGGCAGAAACAAATGGGCAAAGTTTCTTTCACCCTAAGTGCCCCTGTTACCTAGCAGTAAATAGGTACCTGGGAGTTAGTCAGCTGTCACGGGCTGCTTCCTGGGGTGTGTGTGTGTGTGGTGTGGGGAAAAAAAAAAAAGTAGTTAATAAGTTAGTAGTTAGTTAGTAAACAGATGATTGACAGTTGAGAGGCGGGCCGAAAGAGCAAAGCTCAACCCCCGCAAAAACAGAACTAGTAAACACAACTAGTAAACACACAAATGAGCCACAGAGATATTAGAAAGAACTTTTTTTAGTGTCAGAGTGGTTGACAAATGGAATGCATGCACACACACACACACACACACACACACACACACACACACACACACACACACTAGGGGACACAGGTGGAAACTGAGTGCCCAAATGAGCCACAGAGATATTAGAAAGAACTTTTTTAGTGTCAGAGTGGTTGACAAATGGAATGCATTAGGAAGTGATGTGGTGGAGGCTGACTCCATACACAGTTTCAAGTGTAGATATGATAGAGCCCAATAGGCTCAGGAACCTGTACACCTGTTGATTGACAGTTGAGAGGCGGGACCAAAGAGCCAGAGCTCAACCCCCGCAAGCACAACTAGGTGAGTACACGTACACACACACACACACACACACACACACACACACACACACACACACACACACACACACACACACACACACACACACATACAAACACACACACACACATACAAACACACATTATTCGCTTTGAAAGAAGATACCATTTATAAAACAAATATACGTTTTAAAACTAAACAAAATCAGTAGAGATTATTAATATGTGAGCACAGTGGGTGATGACTGAGCAGGACATTATTAATATGTGAGCACAGTGGGTGATGACTGAGCAGGACATTATTAATATGTGAGCACAGTGGGTGATGACTGAGCAGGACATTATTAATATGTGAGCACAGTGGGTGATGACTGAGCAGGACATTATTAATATGTGAGCACAGTTGGTGATGACTGAGCAGGACATTATTAATATGTGAGCACAGTGGGTGATGACTGAGCAGGACATTATTAATATGTGAGCACAGTGGGTGATGACTGAGCAGGACATTATTAATATGTGAGCACAGTTGGTGATGACTGAGCAGGACATTATTAATATGTGAGCACAGTTGGTGATGACTGAGCAGGACATTATTAATATGTGAGCACAGTTGGTGATGACTGAGCAGGACATTATTAATATGTGAGCACAGTGGGTGATGACTGAGCAGGACATTATTAATATGTGAGCACAGTGGGTGATGACTGAGCAGGACATTATTAATATGTGAGCACAGTGGGTGATGACTGAGCAGGACATTATTAATATGTGAGCACAGTGGGTGATGACTGAGCAGGACATTATTAATATGTGAGCACAGTGGGTGATGACTGAGCAGGACATTATTAATATGTGAGCACAGTGGGTGATGACTGAGCAGGACATTATTAATATGTGAGCACAGTGGGTGATGACTGAGCAGGACATTCTGGCCAATGTATGGACGACTCCAGACTTTATGGAAGGCTGATAATACTCTGAATATCAAGCAGATATCAAGCAGATATCAAGTAGATATCTGTCAACGGTGCAAACCTCTCCTAGAGGCGGCCTCAGGCTTAAAGTAAGCCTGAAAGTGTTCTAGTGCCCTTTATATCTAGTCCAGATCCACACAGGAAGGATAATCTAGAGCAAATTTAATATGAAATAAACACAACAAATCCGGATTATACAAAAACTATGATGACTCAAACTCACTCAAGCGCCCTGATCTGAAGGGGACTCTGATCACCCAAAACTGTCATTCTCTGTCTGGCCGCTGCACGACAGTCTGTAATCACCACCTGTCTCTTCAGGTAAAGCCAAAGAGCTAATTATCATCCAAATCTGATGAGCCGTTCAGGCGCTTCAGCGATAACAAATACAGACAACGGCAGAATATGTCAACCTTCCCGACGCCCAAAATATGATTATTCTTTTCAAGTGCTCAAAATACGTCTATAAATATCTTAAAAATTATATTCCATCGTGATAACACAAATTTTCCTTTACTGTTGTGAAGTAAAACTCAGGTCAAATGTGTTTGTCGACGCAGAGTCTTGGTCCGCACCTTCACATAGACGTATTTTAACGATACACAGACAAATGGTAACAAAATATATGTATCAAACCTTAAGAAAGACATGAACATATTGGATACATGTTCACATGAACATGTTGGATGCATACCGTTCACAAGATGGCTCGCTAATGCCTATTAAAACCTTCCCTAACCTAACCTAACCTAACCTAACCTAACCTAACCTAACCTAACCTAACCCAGATCAGACCAACCTAGACTAACGCAGTGTATCCTAAGCTAACACAGCCTAGCCTGACAATATATACAGTTCTAAACAAACAGAAAACGAGCTTTGTCGACCCGTCTTGGACAAGATTCGATCTCGCGCCAAATATTAAATGTTATACGGTCCATGGAAGGTGACAAGCCTATTCCACTACCCTCTCACCACACAAGGCCATCAAACTCACCTTGAACCATTGTTTACGCACTCGACCCCCGGTGTAAGAAGTGCAGTGGGATAGTGAACTTCATTGGAATATCGACGCATCAAGTGGGCTAGCGGTGACAATCCTTTAGGCTAGGTGGATAGTCTCAACTTCTGACGGTTTGGGTTTGGCTAAACCACTGCATTTCTTACGGTGGAGATCGAGAGGACGGGAAACTCTGAGAAAGGACGTACCTTAGACTGTGGCTGGGAGTACCTTTGGGTGCTCTGTGGGCGTCGTGGTAAGGAGTAGTGGGGTGTGTGGGCGTGGGCGCCAGGGTGGGCCTGAGACCTGCGGCCCAGGCGGTCCAGAGAAGCTGTTCGCAGACCGCCCACAGAATGGTCAGAGTCGCTCGAACTTTTGGTCTGGTGTTCAGAACGTCAGGTGGTTAGCGTGTGTGTGTGTGAGTGTGTGTGTGGGCGTGTGTGTGTGGGCGTGAGTGTTGATGGGGTGGAAATGGGCGTAGGTGCGGGCGGAGATGGGCGGAGGGCAGGGACATGCAAGAGAAGAAGAAACAACACAATATTAGTCAAATAACCAAACAATACGGTCAACCCACAAAACGTTTTCCATAAATCTAACACTAAAATATGCAAGACAAACATTAAAACTTAAACATATATAAATGAGTTAAAAAACAACACACACACACAGTGCTTTTATCAACACCAATATATAAAAACACACATATTTAAGATAGGGGTTTAAAACATATGATTTAAAAAGGGGGGGGGATGCAAAACATAGATAATTAAGTACCAATTAATTTAGTACTCACTCCCTCTTATTAATGATGGATTTATGTCATATATTTATATTATTTATTATATATTAAGTTGGTAATCATTATTATTTGGTTGACGACTGGCTGAGAGAGGGAGAGACGTGACCCCCTTCTCAGTCCTATAGTCGTAATGGCTTGCTGCTTTCCCCCCCTGATGATTCACGTCCCTTCGGAGGGAGAGATGGTGATGCTGATATCATCACCATCACCCCCAAGCTTGTGGTGATGGTGATCCGGATGTGTAGGATCATCACTATCACCCCCAAGCTTGAGGTGATGGTGATCCGGACGTGTAGGATCATCACTATCACCCCCAAGCTTGAGGTGATGGTGATCCGGATGTGTAGGATCATCACTATCACCCCCAAGCTTGAGGTGATGGTGATCCGGATGTGTAGGATCATCACTATCACCCCCAAGCTTGAGGTGATGGTGATCCGGATGTGTAGGATCATCACTATCACCCCCAAGCTTGAGGTGATGGTGATCCGGATGTGTAGGATCATCACTATCACCCCCAAGCTAGAGGTGATGGTGATCCGGATGTGTAGGATCATCACTATCACCCCCAAGCTTGAGGTGATGGTGATCCGGACGTGTAGGATCATCACTATCACACCCAAGCTTGAGGTGATGGTGATCCGGACGTGTAGGATCATCACTATCACCCCCAAGCTTGAGGTGATGGTGATCCGGATGTGTAGGATCATCACTATCACACCCAAGCTTGAGGTGATGGTGATCCGGATGTGTAGGATCATCACTATCACCCCCAAGCTTGAGGTGATGGTGATCCGGATGTGTAGGATCATCACTATCACCCCCAAGCTTGAGGTGATGGTGATCCGGATGTGTAGGATCATCACTATCACCCCCAAGCTTGAGGTGATGGTGATCCGGATGTGTAGGATCATCACTATCACCCCCAAGCTTGAGGTGATGGTGATCCGGATGTGTAGGATCATCACTATCACCCCCAAACTTGAGGTCAACAGCTTCGAGATCACCACAACTCATCTCTTAGTCTCAAGACATAATACAAACCATAAAATTAACTTTTACAGACCTGTCAACTTCATTCTCAAATAAAGGAAAAACAAACAAGAAATACAGGTGAAAAATCGTCCCAGAATCATTGACCTCACGCTGTCTGTCGCATCAATACCATACAGAGAACACCCGCAACACCCACAATACCCACAACACCCGCAGGAAGTCTAATATCCCCCAGTATACAGAGGACACAAGACTGTATATTGGTGTGGAGGTGTGTGGCTGGTGAGACGCCATGATCTCCCTACACATCTTGCCCCCAGGGACCAGTAGCGTGGTTACCTTGAGGTTCTTCCGGGGCTTAGCGTCCCCGCGGCCCGGTCGTCGACCAGGCCACCAGGAGAGTGGGCGACGCCACACTCACAGGGTCCCCCTGGGGTTTGCTTGGGGAAGTAAGGGCAAGGCACCAGTTTCCCTCGGTTGGGTTGGAAGCAGCTAGCAGGGGTCAGGGGTCAAGGGGGTGGGTCCAGGGGTCACGGGGGTGGGTTCAGGGGTCACGGGGGTGGGTTCAGGGGTCACGGGGGGTCGTCAGAGGGGGTCAGGTGTGTTTGTCTCCAGAGTGAGACGCGAGGAAGCTCTCAATCCCCGGTGGACTCGACAAGTGCACTCAGGTATACAAACAGGACGAGGCACGAAGAGGCCCTCTCCCCCAGACACACTCACACACACACACACACACACACACACACACACACACACACACACACACACACACACACACACACACACACACACACACTTGCTAACATAACAACGGCCTGGTGGGGGGAAGTGGGGGGGGGGGAGTGAGGAACGAGAAGTGAGGAAGGGGAGCAAAAGCGTAAGAGAAGTAGAGAGAGAGAAGTGACGAAGACATTTCTGGCAAAACATTCCAATCCAGCACTATAAGGTCCCCCCCCCCCCTAAATCCCCAAGGTCACTAGCCTGAGAGACAATCACAAGTACTTTTAATACCGCGGACATTACTCAACACCTCATCTGGTCACTGGGCCCCCAGAGATAGACAAGACACAAGTGATGTTTATCCCCAACACAAGCCTAAATAATATTGTGTTAAAAAAAACCAAATGACAAGCATTTACAAGATAACAGTTGTACAGTCTCGAGACAGTCTCTGTACACCTTTGACAGTCTCTGTACACCTTTGACAGTCTCTGTACACCTTTGACAGTCTCTGTACACCTTTGATAGTCTCTGTACACCTTTGACAGTCTCTGTACACCTTTGACAGTCTCTGTACACCTTTGACAGTCTCTGTACACCTTTGACAGTCTCTGTACACCTTTGACAGTCTCTGTACACCTTTGACAGTCTCTGTACACCTTTGACAGTCTCTGTACACCTTTGACAGTCTCTGTACACCTTTGGCAGTCTCTGTACACCTTTGACAGTCTCTGTACACCTTTGACAGTCTCTGTACACCTTTGACAGTCTCTGTACACCTTTGACAGTCTCTGTACACCTTTGACAGTCGCCCTCGTGCAGTTATTTGGGATCTGAAGTGGGGGGGGGGGGTTATTGAGAGGGGTGGGAGCGATTAGGGAACAAGAGTGGCATCTTACCTGTCTGACGTCACACACTTCAAAAAAGGGGGGTAGTGACACCATCCCCCCCCCCCCCGGAGACTATAGGGGGGTTCGAAATGGGGAATTAACACGGAGGTTTCTTTATAAAACACCTGTACAAAGGGAGGTTTGAACACCTGTATAAACGAGTTTTAAACCTGTACAAAATCCATGAGGTAGGGCGTTACTTAATTAATTTCAGACCCCAGCTTATTGGCTGATTCGTGATGATTGGCCAATATCTGGCCAGGATGATCGGCCGACCTCTCTCTCTCTCTCTCTCCTGATTGGTGGAGAACTAGAGATGTCGTCCCCCCCATTGGAGGAATTTGGGACAGCATCTCCTTATTGACAAACCAAGACTTTTGGACCTTTGTGAAAGATCATTTACAATGCGTCTCTCAAATGATGACCTCGAGGTAATGTGTGTGTGTGTGTGTGTGTGTGTGTGTGTGTGTGTGTGTGTGTGTGTGTGTGTGTGTGTGTGTGTGTGTGTATTCACCTAGTTGTGTTTGCGGGGGTTGAGCTTTGCTCTTTCGGCCCGCCTCTCAACTGTCAATCAACTGTTTACTAACTACTTTTTTTCCCTTACACCACACACACACCCTAGGAAGCAGCCCGTGACAGCTGACTAACACCCAGGTACCTATTTACTGCTAGGTAACAGGGGGCATTCAGGGTGAAAGAAACTTTGCCCATTTGTTTCTGCCTCGTGCGGGAATCGAACCCCGAGCCACAGAATTACGAGTCCTGTGCACTATCCACCAGGCTACGAGGCCCCCACCTGTGTGTGTGTGTGTGTGTGTGTGTGTGTGTGTGTGTGTGTGTGTGTGTGTGTGTGTGTGTGTGTGTGTGTGTGTGTGTGTGTGTGTGTGTACATTATTTTAAAACTGTCAAGTCACTGGTGAGGGCGTGTAGAGAGCAACAACAGCGCCCACAAGATAACCAGCGCCCACAAGATAACCAGCGCCCACATGATAACCAGCGCCCACAAGATAACCAGCGCCCACAAAAGACCCACTAGCGTCCTGGAGAGAGAGAGAGGAAGCAATATCAAGCCTGCAGTGTGGTCGGGCGGGAGCGGACTCGGGAACCTCCTTAAGATAACAGTTATCGAGATAGCACGGCGACGTCCACGCCGTGAAAACGTTACACCCTTATCTCTGAGATCAAATGAGGGACGAGGGAGAGGACGGGGGAAGAACGTGGCATGTTTAAGACGGACGAGAGATGGTACAAGACAGAATAAAAAGACAGGAGCAGCCAGGAATATACACAAACGGTCATCGTACCTTGAGCGCATGTTGAGCCTTGACAGGTGGGAAGGTTTGGAAGACTTCGTCCTCATGTTCCTCCATGATGATGGGCTGAGGTCGTCCGCGGGGGGACCGCCCCCTGCTGTACGACCACTTGTGTCCGATGTACAGCGACTGAACCTCTGGCGGGAACTGCGACAGGCGGTGCGCCACCCAGTTACTGACCGCATGTCTGGCCACGTCGCGTTCAGCACTAGGACGCGGCGCAGATTTCTGCGCTGGGTAGTGCTGGTAAAGGCTTTCTTTCACCTGCCGGCTGTGGTTACCAGGAGCCGGTGGCGTCGCTTCCTGGAAGTGAGCCACATCTGATAGTGTCAGCGACCACTGTTGAGGCTTGCGGATGACAGCAACCACCACTGGAGGAGGTGGTGCTCCAGTAGGTGGATCCCTGACCACTG